GTCAGGAAAAACAACAGAGTAGCCCACACCGTCCGCAGACTTAGACCCATCGGTAAAGATGGAAATAGAGTGGGAGTGCGAAGAAAAGTGCTCAAGGAAGAGGCTTTTCAGAATTGTAGGAGGGGTAAAGGCATTAGTAATACAAGTCAAGGACGTACAAAACTTGGGAAGGGGGACTCTCCACGGAGGCAAGGAAGGAACAATATGAGGAGAAACATTAGAAATATGAAGAGAAAGAGAATCCTGCAAGCGAGATAACCGGACAGAAAGTGGGAGACGAAGAGGAACAGGAGCTACAGGAGGAGGAAAAGTAAGTAAGTAATTATCAAAAGAAGGCACCGAACCGGGAAGGCTATGTAGCACCATCAAATGCGCAAAATAATCAGAGGGCGCTAAATATCACCAAGGATGCCAATACGAGAACAAAAACGCATAAGGCGAACGATATCAAAAGTATCCGAGTCACCAAGAATTCTATTGAGGGACAGGTGATCGCGAGGGGCGGTCAGAAAGCAAGACACACGCTCGTCCTGGAAGTCAGGACATTCAAGAAGGACATGCACGACCGTAAGAGGGACAATGCAACTAGGACAATAAGGAGCAGGGCGGCGCTCCATCAAGTGACCATGGGTTAAGCTAGTATGGCCAATACGCAACCTCGCTAGAGCTGTTTCCCACCGCCGGTTACGGTGGAAGGAGGACGGCCACGAGGAAACACAACATTTAAGAGTACGTAGCTTGTTACCAGTAACAGACAACCAAGAAGCCTGCCAACGGGTAAGGACTGAGGAATGGATAACCGGGTAAAAGTCGGAATACGGAATGCCTTTACGAGAGATGGGACAAGAGCGGACAGCTTCCTTGGCGGCAGCATCCGCACGCTTGTTTAAAGACACACCAATATGGCTGGGAACCCAACAAAACTCAACCGACTTAGTAATTATCAAAAGAAGGCACCAAACCGGGAAGGCTATGTAGCACCATCAAAGACGCAAAATAATCAGAGGGCGCTAAATATCACCAAGGATGCCAATACGAGAACAAAAACGCATAAGGCGAACGATATCAAAAGTATCCGAGTCACCAAGAATTCTATCGAGGGACAGGTGACCGCGAGGGGCGGTCGGAAAGCAAGACATACGCTCGTCCTGGAAGTCAGGACATTCAAGAAGGACATGCACAACCGTAAGAGGGACAATGCAACTAGGACAATAAGGAGCAGGGCGGCGCTCCATCAAGTGACCATGGGTTAAGCGAGTATGGCCAATACGTAACCTCGCCAGAGCTGTTTCCCATCGCCGGTTACGGTGGAAGGAGGACTGCCACGAGGAAACACAACATTTAAGAGTACGTAGCTTGTTACCAGTAACAGACAACCAAGAAGCCTGCCAACGGGTAAGGACTGAGGAATGGATAACCGGGTAAAAGTCGGAATACGGAATACCCTTACGAGAGATGGGACAAGAGCGGACAGCTTCCTTGGCGGCAGCATCCGCACGCTCATTTAAAGACACACCAATATGGCTGGGAACCCAACAAAACTCAACCGACTTAAATTTACTGTGAACGAGAAACAGCCAATGCTGGATCTCGACAACCACTGGATGAACTGGATTAAAGGACCCGAGAGCCATGAGGGCACTACGAGAGTCAACAACAACTACAAAGGAAGATTGACAACGAGAAAGTAGGAGACGAAGAGCATAGAGAATAGCATAAAGTTCCGCTGTAAAGATGCTAGTCTCCGGAGGCAAGCGACACATATAAGTGTGATCAGGAAAAACAACAGAGTAGCCAACACCGTCCGCTGACTTAGACCCATCGGTGAAGACAGAAACGGAGCGGGAGTGAGAAGAAAAGTGCTCGAGGAAAAGGCGTTTTAGAACCGTAGGAGGGGTAAAAGCTTTAGTGATACGGGTCAAGGATGTACAAAACCGCGGAAGAGGGACCCTCCACGGGGGCAAAGAAGGAACAACACGAGGAGAAACATCAGAAATACGAACGGAAAGAGAATCCTGCAGGCGAGATAACCGGACAGAAAGAGGGAGGTGGTGAAGAGGAACAGGAACCGCAGGAGGGGTAAAAGTTAAAGCACGACAGAGGCGAGAGGAAGGATGCTGTAAGGACCGCGCAAGATAGCGAAGACAGTAGCGATCACGGCGGTCCTGAAGAGAGAGAAAGCCAGTGTCAACAAACAAACTGAGGGCGGGAGTCGAAGAAAGGCACCAGAGCTGAGACGCAACCCAGTATGGTGCAAAGCATCAAAACGGCGAAGAGTAGGAGGAGAGGCAGAAGAGTAAGCAGGGCAACCATAATCGAGTTTAGACAGGACGAGAGAGGAGTGCAAATAGAGGAGCGTGCGCCTATCCGCTCCCCAAGAAGTATGGGACAAAACCTTAAGTAGGTTAATGGCCTTAGAGCATTCAACTCGGAGGTAAGAGATATGGGCTGACCAAGACAAACGAGTGTCAAAGACTAACCCCAAGAGCTTTGCGGAATCCCTGTACACAAGGGGATGACCATAAAGCGACAAAGAGGGACGAAGAACGACATGCTTCCGAGTAAAAGTCATAGCACAAGTCTTAGACGCAGAGAACTTGAAGCCATGATCGGTGGCCCTCTACCGTCTTAAACCTACTGGAGATGATATTGTTGGTAGGAACCCCTCTTCTGCCTCTCCATCTCAAATTGACCAGGTCCATAATTTCTTGGACTGTCTTCCCTTTAAGTTCCTCCCATTACACACTTCCCAAATACTTACTTTCATGCAGTCCCCCTTTTTTTATAGTCCACTCTCCTTCCCCAGACACCGTGTCACACGGGTATAGTCCACTCACCTTCCCCAGACACCGTGTCACACGGGTATAGTCCACTCACCTTTCCCAGACACCGTGTCACACGGGTATAGTCCACTCACCTTTCCCAGACACCGTGTCACACGGGTATAGTCCACTCACCTTTCCCAGACACCGTGTCACACGGGTATAGTCCACTCACCTTTCCCAGACACCGTGTCACACGGGTATAGTCCACTCACCTTCCCCAGACACCGTGTCACACGGGTATAGTCCACTCACCTTTCCCAGACACCGTGTCACACGGGTATAGTCCACTCACCTTTCCCAGACACCGTGTCACACGGGTATAGTCCACTCACCTTTCCCAGACACCGTGTCACACGGGTATAGTCCACTCACCTTTCCCAGACACCGTGTCACACGGGTATAGTCCACTCACCTTTCCCAGACACCGTGTCACACGGGTATAGTCCACTCACCTTCCCCAGACACCGTGTCACACGGGTATAGTCCACTCACCTTTCCCAGACACCGTGTCACACGGGTATAGTCCACTCACCTTCCCCAGACACCGTGTCACACGGGTATAGTCCACTCACCTTTCCCAGACACCGTGTCACACGGGTATAGTCCACTCACCTTCCCCAGACACCGTGTCACACGGGTATAGTCCACTCACCTTTCCCAGACACCGTGTCACACGGGTATAGTCCACTCACCTTCCCCAGACACCGTGACACACGGGTATAGTCCACTCACCTTCCCCAGACACCGTGTCACACGGGTATAGTCCACTCACCTTCCCCAGACACCGTGACACACGGGTATAGTCCACTCACCTTCCCCAGACACCGTGTCACACGGGTATAGTCCACTCACCTTTCCCAGACACCGTGTCACACGGGTATAGTCCACTCACCTTCCCCAGACACCGTGACACACGGGTATAGTCCACTCACCTTCCCCAGACACCGTGTCACACGGGTATAGTCCACTCACCTTCCCCAGACACCGTGTCACACGGGTACTGTTTTAAGTTCGAACGTCTAGTTAAATAACAAGCATTTCCTGCTCAAAGTTCTCAATGTCTTCCTCATTGTGGGTGAAGACAAGGTCCTGTAGGTGTAGTGCATCTCCTCTTATCTCTTTGTCATCCTTTACCTGCTGTGTTAACAAATGTCTACAGCTTCCACTAGTGTAGCTCCCCACATGTCTTCCCAAGTATGGGGATTTCTAGAGAGGGGGGGGGGATAGTTGGAGGGAGAGATGGGATGGGAGTGTAAAGAAGGGGGGGGGGGTAGGAAGGGGGGGCAGGAAGAAGGGGGGGCAAGAAGAGGGGGGGCAAGAAGAGGGGGGGGCAAGAAGAGGGGGGGCAAGAAGAGGGGGGAGGCAGGAAGAGGAAGAGGGAGATAGGTAGAGGGGGGAGGCAGGAAGAGGAAGAGGGAGGTAGGTAGAGGGGGGAGGTAGAGAGAAGAGGGTAGGAAGAGAGAAGAGGGTAGGAAGAGAGAAGAGGGTAGGAAGAGAGAAGAGGGTAGGAAGAGAGAAGAGGGTAGGAAGAGAGAAGAGGGTAGGAAGAGAGAAGAGGGTAGGAAGAGAGAAGAGGGTAGGAAGAGAGAAGAGGGTAGGAAGAGAGAAGAGGGTAGGAAGAGAGAAGAGGGTAGGAAGAGAGAAGAGGGTAGGAAGAGAGAAGAGGGTAGGAAGAGAGAAGGGGGTAGGAAGAGAGAAGGGGGTAGGAAGAGAGAAGGGGGTAGGAAGAGAGAAGGGGGTAGGAAGAGAGAAGGGGGTAGGAAGAGAGAAGGGGGTAGGAAGAGAGAAGGGGGTAGGAAGAGAGAAGGGGGTAGGAAGAGAGAAGGGGGTAGGAAGAGAGAAGGGTAGGAAGAGAGAAGGGTAGGAAGAGAGAAGGGTAGGAAGAGAGAAGGGTAGGAAGAGAGAAGGGTAGGAAGAGAGAAGGGTAGGAAGAGAGAAGGGTAGGAAGAGAGAAGGGTAGGAAGAGAGAAGGGTAGGAAGAGAGAAGGGTAGGAAGAGAGAAGGGGAGGAAGAGAGAAGGGTAGGAAGAGAGAAGGGTAGGAAGAGAGAAGGGTAGGAAGAGAGAAGGGTAGGAAGAGAGAAGGGTAGGAAGAGAGAAGGGTAGGAAGAGAGAAGAGGGTAGGAAGAGAGAAGAGGGTAGTAAGTAACTCCCTGTTAAGGATAAAGAAACACAAGTGATATGACCATTTTATTTAAAAAAAGGTTGCATTATCACATTTTGGTTATGTAAAAAGAGCCCAAAAAATTAAAATTAAAATGTTGCAAAAAGATAAATTTCATACAACACACATAATAGGTTTTCATCTAAGAAAATAAAAATAAAAATCCAGCTATTACCATAAATTATATATCCACACACCTCATACCAATCATAACACAGCATCTTTAGCAAACTGTGGGAGAATAACAAGAGATAAATGCAAAATATATAGTTTTTCCTCAATTTGAGCCGAGGTAGCCAAGTACCTTCTGATAAGAGCTAGCCTAAGCAACGAGCACATGGTCTCGACAGCAAGTCGTGTCGTTAAAAGTTACATGTAGAATATATGATGCTCAACCTGTAATATACAATATTTTGCAGTTTCCTTCCTTCCTTCCTTCCCACGATACCTCTGCCTCAACGGTACACCATATGTTGTTCTGACAACAGTAATCCATACAGGGCGATTAAAAAATATGCAATGGTCGTTTTTTTTTTGGCTGCACTCAATATCCAGCTCATATAAAAAATTATCCAAACCATTTTTACATTTATTATCAGGTACAAGTACATGAGGGAGGGAATAGCTCATCAAAAACCGACTAAAAAATGTCTACTCCATAAAAAGACAGCAGATATCACCGTTCAGCAAATTGATAAAAAAAACGTGTCCAAGTGACAAATCAAAATCATCTTCACATTACAGTATCTAGAAATAAAACGCTAAGTTTGTGTACACCAAAACAAACAAGGTATTAAAATTTGCTGGTGGACAAAAGATCGAACATACTCACAAAAGTTGAGTAATTGTGAATATCACAAAATTTCAGACGGACGGACGGATCCAAAAATATTCACTAAATTACACAGGTCAAATTTTAAATATTAAAAAATTAGGAGGGACATAAAAGAATAGCTTGAAACTTCAGTGCATCATTTTCCATGGGCTGGAGAGAGACCTTCACAAGACTGAAAAGACGAATCTCTTGCATCACAGGCACACTACAACTCTCAGATTTCCAAACTAGAGTTAAAGAACCCATTCCTTTACTTTTGGAATACTGCATACCCTCAAGAGGCAGTTTGTCAGTATACACTCTCTTGATGACCCCAAGTTGAAGCACAAGAACATCAAAAGCACGATCCAAAATAGCAATGACCATCCCCTCTTCTTCTAATACTTTGACCTGTCTGATAAAGAGAGACAAGTACAGATCACTACTCATTTCTTGCAAAATCTTTGATGCCTGTTTTCTGTCGTTGCAATGTTCAGCTATTTTCTGAATGGTACCAGAGTCCCGTGAAGGTGGTCTGTATCTATTACTATCTATGCTTGCTGCAAGAACACGATGAACCATCAGGTCAGCATAACGACGAATTGGAGATGTAAAGTGAGTATACAGAGGTACGTTTAGCGCATAATGCCGGTACTGGGATGAGTCTGCAAAACTACCTGGGCAAAAATACCGAGCAAACTGCATGGGCTTACTGCACATGGATGTAATAACTTGCAGCCTTCCGGCAGTATATTCATCTTGGCCAGCATACTGAATAATTGACTTATTAAGTGCCCCTGCACTAGAAATATCTAAGTGAATACCTGCTTCCTTTAAAGCATTTGCAGCAAACAACATAGGATTCTCTAGCGGAGGAGGGTGACGCCTCAACACTGAGATGGATGATAGTGAATTGAATATCTTGTGAGCAACAGCCATGTTTGCAAGCAACATAAATTCTTCAATCAGTCGATTACTATCCTTTTGTTCATAAACATAGAAGCCATTAGGCATGTGTGTTTCATTATCAAGATTAAATGCAATTTTAACCTGATCTAATCGTAAGGCACCATCTTGGAACCTCTTTTTCCTAAGATTTACTGCTATTGACTGAAGATCATTGACCACTTTGCTAATATCTTTAGACTTATAAGGTCCTGTAACTTTTGGAATCTCTTCCTCAGACCACTTTTTATTTGGGTTTTCAATCATACTTTGTGCATGTTCATATGACAATTTAACACATGATCGAATAACAGTACGACCAAACCATTCGCCAACAACCTCACCACTTGGACGAAGTTCCCATATAACTGAGAATGCCAGACGATCTTCTCCTGGGTTTAACGAGCATAGATGTTCACAGAGGACCCGTGGTAACATGGGAATTACCTGAAAGTAAAATAAAAATTAGATAATTTAACTCTTGACCCGTGCTAATTGTAAATATACAATTTTAGTCTAACTACGGCACATATTTTATATATAATTTCTAAAGTACGGTGTAAGGTTTAAGTCCCGCAGCTACACAGGGTTCACATCAGCTTTCTCAAGACCCCAATAAACAGCCACCATTAAAAAAAAAAAAAAAAAAATTGTGGGTACCATTCCCGGGTGTGAAGGCCTCAGTACTGAGTGAGCAACCAAGGCTGGCGCACGCAGCATGAGCTTAGAGCACTGCTGCTCAGCTTGTGACCACAGCATCACCTAAAAATGTCAAATATATGTATGTAACTGGTATTATTTAGCCATGATAGTACAGTATTACAGAAGATCCCTGACTGATAAAAATGACCAGGATTCAGATAATAGCAGGATTGTGGTGATAATTAGCGCTGTGTGTAATATGGTGGGAGGAGTAATGTTGAGGGAGGGAGGGAGGGAGGTAGCGTCATCTGCTGACTGTGTGGCCACCTGATATCGTCTGCACTCACCATACCAGCTCAGTGGTTCTCTATGAACACAAATGTAGATACAGTACTTGTATATATAAAGTGTGTATTAGTGTAATAACAGCAAAAGGATTATGTTAGGAGGAGCCATTTTGGTGAGGGAGGTGGCATCATAAGTGTAAGGGTGACCACTAAGCTCTTTGGGCACTTTACCAGCTTAGTTTTAGTTATGGTGAATAAAACATGTAGATACTGTACTTTTATATAATGTGTGTATATAGTGTAATAACACCACAAATAGCTTGGTTGGAGGAGGAATGTTAGCGAGTCTGGCCCTGAACGAGTGAGGCAGCTTCAGCTGACTGAGGTAACCTCTGTTATTGTCTGCTCTCACCATACCAGCTTAGTTGTACAGTTATGGTGAACAAAACATGTAGATACTGTACCTATATTACACTATACACACACTTTATATAACACCACAAACAAGATGGTTGGAGGAGGAATGTTGCCGAGTGAGGTGTTGTTGAGAGAAAGAAGTTGGCAGCGTTGGCTGGCTGGTTTGTGGCGGCCTCTCCTCGATGTTCTGACTCACCATATCAACTTAGTGGTTCGTTATGGTGAACAAAACATGCAGAAAATTATAAATATCCTGTGTATATAGTGTAAAAACAGCAAAACTATTTGCTTATTGTTTTATGAACATAATTGAATCATTAATATGCACACCATAATTTTGAGTATAGCAATGAATCACACATTTTATTATATAAATATATCACACTACACATAATTGAATAATAGTACTGCAAAAAAAAGTAAAAGAAAAATCAGAGACATTGAAATAATTAGGTAATAATATCTTTGCTGCAACTCACACCTGACAGCTCGGGCAGAACTGACCACCTCCAACAATTGCTCTGTCAACGCCTCAATTTTCCCAGACTGTCTCGCCCTAATGCAGCCAAAATATGTCGCCTACAATTTTTTTCCCGTGTCAGGTAACACAAATATACACTTTTATTAGAGAAATTTATTTTTAATTTTTTTTATTTCATGCACCTGGGTGTGTTGGAGGCTATAATCACAAGAACAGCTCAGGGGATAAGGCCCAACGCGAACCCCGAGAGCCCCACTTCTATGCAGAGCAAACACTGTGGCAATCGGACGAAGAAGGAACCAGGGACGCCACCAACCTGAAAACTGGCACCACAGGCCCCACCCCAACCAAACGAGTTCCAAGCCCTGGCAGGACTCTTCCGGGAGGGCCAGGAGCAACCCCTCGGGAAAACCAAACATATCTGAAATAGGCCGGCAACTAGCCGAAGCCACCAACAGAAACAAAAGACGACAAACTGGCAGAGCAGACTGGAGATCCAAGGCACAAGCCAAATTCAAAGAGAGAGCCAACACAGCCAGTTGACATGCAAGACAAAGGTGAAAACCATGGAAACCGCCTCTCAGAGAATCGGCAAAATAGCGTAGGTAAGGCAGATGACGCAGAAGCAGCCAAGGGGGACCCCCCCACCCTACGACCTTGCATCTTCCGAAAGCCAATCCAAAGACAGCTCCAAAAGACCGAAGAATCGCAAGACAGAAGACAAGTTACTGCGAGTCCGCATGTCCCTGGACATCAAAGCAGCCAAAAGAGTGGGAACCCGAGCATGAAGCTGCACAAGACCAACATTACGAGGAAGCACAGGGTGAAGAGGCACTCATTGATAAACTCAAGAGAGCCCCCACCCCCAAGAACACCTGCAACACCGTGGTACCCTCCCGCCACTCAAGTGTGCAGATACGACAAAAGCCTCACCAAGCCCTAAAAGAAAAGAAAGGAAACGTTGCCAGTCAAGAAGACTCTGGGGCCCTGGAACACACCTAATGGGGGAAGAAAAACCGAACTCAAAGGAGGCCGGAGCCATCACCAAGGCGTAAACCGGATCCCACAGGAAGAAAGGGCCGAGAGCCGCCTGAACCTCTGCAGAGAAAAACTGGGAGGAAGAAAACCACTAGAAGGACAAATCTGATGAACCCAAAGCCACCCGGAAACGAATTCCCCCCACCCAACTAAAACTCAAAGGGAAGGATGGTACAAGGAACCAAGCAGGGTCAAATGAAACATAAGCTCCACTCGAACCCCTTCCCCCAGAAAATGTCATTGAAGGCACAGGGGCAAAGTTCTCATCCATGCTCACCACCCCAGAAGGAAAGGAGTCCATGAAAAAAGCTTCAAAGAAGGGAGTCGACTGAAAAGACTTTGAAGCCTCAAAGACTGAAGCCTCAGCGGGAAGAAGAAACTTGACCACCTGGTCGTATCGGAAGGGGCAGCCCCTGAAGCCACCCGAGCCTCCCCCTAGCTAAGCCCCACCCTGACACCGAAACTCAAGAGGTTTGGGAGCTGGTAGCAGAAGGGGGAGAAAAAAAGGCAAACACACCAACCTGGGAATGAAGAGGGGGGGGGGGGGGGGTATGGCCAAGTGGCCAATGCCCCGAAAGCCCAAGCAGGACAGCTCCAGGATGTCCAAACGGACACACAACCTGGCTTGTTGCATCAGAGAAACGGTTATGCAACGCAACCGCTGCCTGATCCCCCAGAATATCCGATAGGGAAGGAGTGAAGAGAAGCACAAGCGGAGACAATTTTAGTGTAACTACCTGCACGGCAAACATTTTATATTTACAGTGGTACCTTGGAATACGAGTGTCCCTGTATACGAGTTTTTCGGAATATGAGCAGGATTTGCTCGGAAAATTTACATCGGAATACGAGTGTGTTGATACGCATACAGGCCGACTAGTGTGTGGTAGCACAGCAATCGCGCCTCAGTTTACCAGTGACTATCCTGCCTGAATTTTTCACAATGTTTTACAGTTTTTTGTCGGATTTTTGGCCATTTGAGCATAAAAGTTATTATATATCCTGCCATGGGTCCCAAGAAAGCCAGTAGTAAGATTCAACCTAAGAAAATAGTTGTGAGTAGAGGCAGTAGAGGATGTCCCTTCTTCATTAAGAAAATGTGTGAAGTATGGGAAGAACTGCAGTGGGTTGGGGTAGCTGGACGAAGTCTTGCTGGTTTTCTTTGTGGGAGAGTTCTTTTGCACTTTTCAACCAGGCAGTACAGTAGTCTGTTTTGATTTGCCTGCCTTTCTAGGTGCCTTCCCTGGTCGATGGCAAGAGGACATACTTTACAAGTAAAGTGTTCATGGGCCATTGCTCCCTGCATCTCTCTGAGGGGGGCCAGGTTCTAGCTCATGGTCCCCGGTAGGCATATAAAGAACATTGCGACCATATGGCACTCAAGTAGCATGGCACCTGATCAGCAAGACAGCTTCAGGGAGCCAATGGGGCTCCCCACAGAAAAGGTGGATATTTGATTTTACAAATCTTGCAAAAACAAATGCAAGATTTGTTTCTCAGATTTGAAGTTCGAGTCAATTTACTGCATTAATTCATTATAATTTTATTCTTCATAAAATTCATATTATTCATTATAATGTTATCCTTCACATCTGCACTTATGTTTTAAAAAAATCGCTCGCATATTAAAGCATAGGTACTAATACTGTATATATGCATCTCTTGTTGCATTAAGTTCCTTAACAAGTGACTGCCGCTATACAGAACAAGGAAACACTGATATTGATGCATTACCATCATATTAGTTTAATGCAGCATAGTGCAGTGGTTAAGGAAAAGCTTCGAAAGAATAATTAATATAACTACTTTTTGAGTGAGGTAGACACTGGTAGCCCGACTGGATGCAATTTCGTCGAGCAGAGTTCCCTCGGGTATGAAGTAGCTAACATCAGCAATGTGGACTCCCACTCGGTAGTTCCCTGATGGTAGCGGCAGACAAGACACTGCATCATCAAGATCCCTTGCAGTAGAAGGGTCGATGGTGAAGATGCACTCATCCCTCAGGTCGGTGCGAGACTTAATTTCCTGAAAGGAATACAAAAAATATATCAATATCAGTATTATTACATATTTCCACTTTCATGGGGTTAGGAGGCAATAACCAGGAAAGGAGGTAAAGTATTGCAAGGAATAATGCCTCTCCATAATTTGGGGGGGAGAGGAGGAGAGGGGTAGGGGAGAGGAGAGGGGGGGAGGGGTAGGGGAGAGGAGAGGGGGGGAGGGGTAGGAGAGGCACTCCATCCTCCGAATTGACAGTTTTAATACTAGTGTAATAAGTACATTTCCTGACTATCATACATAGTACATAATTGCACTTATGGGGCTGTTACATTTACCCCCCCCCCCATTTAATTCTCCTCGTTTTCTGTTAAGACACTCAGAATTTTAGGATGAAGTCTTAAAGTTCAATTCGCTATACCGACGTTTTAAATATGAGGAATTTTTTTTCAGTTTTATTAAAAAATAGATTTTATACAAAATTTGAAAATATCCTGAGTTACCTTACAATTTATTGACATATTTTATAGTTTTGTTATATTTGTTTTATAAAACTGTAATATCAATATAGCTATAGGTTAAGTAGTAATTGTAATCAAGAAGCAATAAAATGCTTATCTTCAAAAACTAAGATGGTTAGGTTGGGGGGGAGGAGGAGAGGGTTAGGGGGGGGGGGAGGAGGAGAGGGTTAGGGGGGGAGGAGGAGAGGGTTAGGGGGGAAGGAGGAGAGGGTTAGGGGGGAAGGAGGAGAGGGTTAGGGGGGAAGGAGGAGGAGGAGAGGGTTAGGGGGGAGGAGAAGAGGGTTAGGGGGGAGGAGGAGAGGGTTAGGGGGAGGAGGAGAGGGTTAGGGGGAGGAGGAGAGGGTTAGGGGGGAGGAGGAGAGGGTTAGGGGGAGGAGGAGAGGGTTAGGGGGAGGAGGAGAGGGTTAGGGGGGAGGAGGAGAGGGTTAGGGGGAGGAGGAGAGGGTTAGGGGGGAGGAGGAGAGGGTTAGGGGGGGGAGGAGGAGGAGAGGGTTAGGGGGGGGAGAAGGAGGAGAGGGTTACGGGGGGGAGAAGGAGGAGAGGGTTACGGGGGGGAGGAGGAGAGGGTTAGGGGGGGAGGAGGAGGAGGAGGAGAGGGTTAGGGGGGGAGGAGGAGGAGAGGGTTAGGGGGGGAGCAGGAGGAGGAGAGGGTTAGGGGGGAGGAGGAGGAGGTTAGGGGAGGAGGAGGAGGAGGAGAGGGGTAGGGGGGGGGTAGGGGGGGGGGAGGAGGAGGAGAGGGGTAGGGGGGGGAGGAGGAGGAGAGGGGTAGGGGGGGGAGGAGGAGGAGAGGGGTAGGTGGGGAGGAGAAGGAGGAGAGGGGTAGGGGAGGAGGAGAAGGAGGAGAGGGGTAGGGGAGGAGGAGAGGGGTAGGGGGAGAGGAGGGGTAGGATGAGGAGAGGGGTAGGAGAGGAGATGGAGAAAGGGGAGTGAAGGAGAGTGTAAGAGACCTGGACATTGCCAGGTACCTCAGCAGACAGAGTCGGAACAATAGATATCTTAAGTCTTCAACTCCAACCCTTTATGACTCTCTCTAATCAAGGATTTGATTAGACTGTGTTCCTTCCTGAATTTCAACATGCTAAATAACTTTCACACAAGCACCTCTCTTGTCCAAGCAATTCCAATTATTTACCACTCTCACCGAATGTAAATATTGCCTTGCATTCCTCTGGATCATCTGGGTTTCCAACTCCACCTGTAAGCATTAACATTATTCATCTTTCTCTCAATGTTCTTAAATGTAGTTCTTAAGACTGTCGTCATAGCCCATTTTTCTTATAATCTACTCACCTAATTGTGCTTGCAGGGATTGAGCTTTGGCTCTTTGGTCCCGCCTCTCAACTGTCAATCAACTGGTGTACAGATTCCTGAGCCTACTGGGCTCTATCATATCTACATTTGAAACTGTGTATGGAGTCAGCCTCCACCACATCACTTCCTAGTGCATTCCATTTATTAACTACTCTGACACTGAAAAAATTCTTTCTAACGTCTCTTGTGGCTCATCTGAGTACTATATATTGTTAAAGTTCAATATACTTTTGGAGGGAAACAATAATTTACCTGATTACAATATGAAATTACTCATCTTGTAAATCTTGCCACCTATCAGAGTACAAATACAAATTCAAGCACAGGCCCCATATCCAGACACAGCTGTTGGACTGAAGTGCACAGCAGTTGCGGTATGACCACCCACATGAACACACTGACCATGTCCTCCTCCCATAACCTCTTGGATTGAGAGGCAGCAGCTGGTCACAGGTCAAGTTTTCACTCCCTGGGATTTCTCTCATTTAAAACAATTATAAATGAATACCAGAAACATAGTACAAGGTATACTATTTAAACTGATTAGGTAGAATAAAAAAATGACCCAAAATGGATGACCATGAGACTAAGGAACCTTATGGGGAAATAAGAACACTATGTAAGCATATAACACCAATGGTACTTGCAGCATGCACTAAAGACAACCGAGACATAATGGAGCTCGAGAAGCTTGAAAATCTGTAAACCAGTAGATTGACAGTTGAGAGGCGGGACCAAAGAGCAAAAGCTCAACCCCCACAAGCACAACTAGGCGAGTACAGTGCTCCACACAACCATCACAAGCTTGGTCAATCTTTTCCACCTCACTTATGTTTTTTTAAGCACTATATTTCCATCACAAAACTTTACTGACCTAATAATATTTTACACATCCTACTGTACATCTTTCCTAAAAGCATTCATATAATAAAAAAAAAAACTATCTAAAAAGACTAACAAGGCCAAGAAGACAAGCAGTACAAATCAACTTGATAAACTCACTTGCAGAGGGATAGACCAAGGCAGGGATGGAAGGTCTTGTAACACCGTGTCTGGGAATTCTGCGTAATCTACACCATATTCCAATAGCATGGCCTCTGTTTCAGCCTCAACATCCCCAATGGCACCCACATCACGCACTAGTTCTCTGAAATATTGCAACTCCAATAAGATATATAGAGCAGTATGTTAACTAGGAAAAAAGCAGAACAAAATAAAATCAAACTATTTCTTACATCTCAACTCTCATGCAGCTTTTCTCGCACATGCAAAATGCCAAGTTGTTCTAACACATCCTTATTACCACATCCCACCTGCTACCTCTTGTGAAATAAAACAAACCTTTGCTAATGCATTCAAAAATCAACTATCTCCCACTGTTCAAATTAGATAGGGGTACAATTGTGGTGTATTTACTCAAGTTGCATCCATGGATAGTGATATTTAGCTCTTGATTTGTTTCCATTTTCTCTCCGAGGCCCCCCTCCCTCCCCCCACTCTTTTGTTTCACTGTCCAATGCCCCTTCTTGAGGTTATCTTGAGCAATGCCCCTTCTTGAGGTTATCTTGAGCAATGCCCCTTCTTGAGGTTATCTTGAGCAATGCCCCTTCTTGAGGTTATCTTGAGCAATGCCCCTTCTTGAGGTTATCTTGAGCAATGCCCCTTCTTGAGGTAATCTTGAGCAATGCCCCTTCTTGAGGTTATCTTGAGCAATGCCCCTTCTTGAGGTTATCTTGAGCAATGCCCCTTCTTGAGGTTATCTTGAGCAATGCCCCTTCTTGAGGTTATCTTGAGCAATGCCCCTTCTTGAGGTTATCTTGAGCAATGCCCCTTCTTGAGGTTATCTTGAGCAATGCCCCTTCTTGAGGTTATCTTGAGCAATGCCCCTTCTTGAGGTTATCTTGAGCAATGCCCCTTCTTGAGGTTATCTTGAGCAATGCCCCTTCTTGAGGCTATCTTGAGCAATGCCCCTTCTTGAGGTTATCTTGAGCAATGCCCCTTCTTGAGGTTATCTTGAGCAATGCCCCTTCTTGAGGTTATCTTGAGCAATGCCCCTTCTTGAGGTTATCTTGAGCAATGCCCCTTCTTGAGGTTATATTGAGCAATGCCCCTTCTTGAGGTTATCTTGAGCAATGCCCCTTCTTGAGGCTATCTTGAGCAATGCCCCTTCTTGAGGCTATCTTGAGCAATGCCCCTTCTTGAGGTTATATTGAGCAATGCCCCTTCTTGAGGCTATCTTGAGCAATGCCCCTTCTTGAGGTTATCTTGAGCAATGCCCCTTCTTGAGGTTATCTTGAGATGATTTTGGAGCTTTAGTGTCCCCGCGGCCCGGTCCTCGACCAGGCCTCCACCCCCCAGGAAGCAGCCCGTGACAGCTGACTAACACCCAGGTACCTATTTTACTGCTAGGTAACAGGGGCATAGGGTGAAAGAAACTCTGCCCATTGTTTCTTGCCGGCGCCCGGGACCACAGGATCACAAGTCCAGCGTTCTGTCCGCTCGGCCGACCGGCTTCCTTCAGATGGAAAGTCTTCAACTATCTATTTCCCTCGATACCTTACACATTGTGATCATGCTGCCTCTTGCTCCTCTCTCTTCCAGCACTATTCGACTTTCTTTTAAGACTGTCCTTATTGCCAGCCTCTTTAATCTGGTACTTGCCTCAGCCCAGTTTTGGACAGTCTCAATGGTGTTCTCAGGCTTTATCAAAATTGGGTTATCATGCTGATGCAGCATGGGTTATGTCATTAGCTTTTGTGCCTATGTCATCATTAAATTGCTGCTCTCTTGACTATGCTGTACTCATTACTAGCTCTCTACAGTGCTTTCCTATTCTCAAAACAAAGGTCTCTCACTGTTTCATGCCTCCTACCAAACTAAGTCAGTCATACTGTACTCTGTAGCTTAGTTGAACTCGCTAAAAATAAAAGCGTACTGTATCACACAACATTAAAATGTAGAAGTGCTATACAATTGCAAAATAAAAAAATCCATCATTATACCTCATCAAACCCTCTTTCACATCCTTGGACATGTAAGTAATGAATTAAGTCACTGTGATAGTTCATTCCTCACACCTGAGCAAAACTGATATCACTAGTGCTAGCTTTGCCATGTCAATATCCACAATTAAGCAATATTCATCCTTACAAAGATATTTCTAATTCTGAGGCACTTTCATACAGAAACTGGCTCTTGCTAAGTAATATCAGCTGGCTATGGATACCAAATTCCACAAGTACAAACCCTATTTGCTGCTTTCAGAATATCAGATAAGCAGGACAAAATTAAATGCTTTTTAGCTTGTGCTAAATTCTAGGAAAATTATACCTGATAAGCCAATGTTATACTAAATTTTAAATTACAGTTAAGAGGTACTTTTTAAGAATACTAAAAAGGCCATAAAACTATAATGAAAATTTAACTAAAAAACACTACTTACCCTAAAGCAAATTTAGGCTCCTTCCATTGAACAATTTTACACAAGAAAATTCTCTTGTCATAATCTTGATGTCTGGCGAAGAAGTCTGGCGGACACTGTCGCATGGGCACCTTCATGCGTGGAATGCGGTGATCACTTGGTGCAAAGAATGCGAAGTTTGGGTTCTTGTCTCCAAAGAGCTTCAATGTTCCAGCGCCCATCCGTGTGTGTTTTCTTTCCAATAAGTAAACAACTCGGGCCGTCCGTTGAACAAATTTATCCCAATTTTTGAGTCTCTGAACTTGCACTACTGTTAGTCCTTTGTGGTTATTTTTTCCAGAATTTTGTCTGATAGTCTGTTCACTCAAAATATTTTTGTCCATCTGCAAAATGCCTTGCCTATTTTTCTTACCCTCTGTTGGTCTAATAAAATGAACCATTTCAGAAGCAATGTTTTCACCTCTATAATTACTTGGCTCATTAGGTGTACTTTTAACTGAAGTCTTGTTGTATGCTTTCTTGGGGTACCTAGGCCCTTGGTGGCTTCTCCCTACATCCTCGTATGTGCTGCTTGCCTGCCCACAAGCCTCAAGACTTGACACTCTGCTGGGCTCTCCGTGATACCCGACATTTGGTAAAGACGACAAAAGCTGCTCTGAAACGGTTTTATTCTTCTTGCCTCGAGCCTTTATATTACAACCAATTGCGGAAGATTTAATGCACGTGGGATTGTTCGTTGCCGATTCGCATTTATCACGTTTTAATGTGATTTGGTCAAGTCCAACAATTATAGCGTCCTGATCATTGACATCTTTCTGATGACTCAACTTGGCTACTCCAGTCATTAATGTTTCTTCCTTCGAGGTATCATCACCCTGTAAAGATTCTGTGTTTATGGTTAAAATATCAGCTTTCTTTGTATTCACAGTACTTGCATCCTGGCCACTGTTCGTCACACTATTTACAACGTTGGCACTCGACACCACCTCCTCACTTATATCAATTTTCAAATTAAAATTTGCAGATTCCTGTTTTATAAAACCCAGTTTATCAATGCTGCTAATTTCCTTTATATCAGCAGCTAAAAGGGTAGAGTCCTGTTGCCCGGCTTTCATCATCTCGCAAGTCACGTCAACTATCTGACGAGTGTCACTGGAACAGCCTTGTGCAATGTCCTGTTTCTCTTGTTCTTTTTGAAAAGCCTCCCACTGAGCTTGGATAAAACTCTGATCTTCCCGATTTCTGTCATAATCAAGAATTTCACTACATCCACTCTCATCGTCTGTCAGCTCACACTCACTAAGCTGATCTGGAGGAACAACAACAGCTCTGGATTTTACTTTATCAGCTTTTATCTCGTCATCCGAATCACTCCGACACACGGCAACCAAATCTTGCTCCGAATTTAAAATTAAAATTTCATCGGCAACTTCGACGCAAGCGTTCATTTCAAGAACCATTTCCACAGTGACATCGTCCAATTCCTGTTCCTCCTTATCTTTAGATACGACTGCATCTTTGGTCTGCGTGTCAAGAGTTTTTGAAATTTCTGTCTCATCCTGTTCCCTTTCGGGTTTCCTTCTGCCTTTCTTCTTTCCCCGCCCCCCTCGTCTCTTCTTCTTTCCCGCTGCCTTGGCAGAGTTGGCTCCAGCTTCTTGAGCTTCCAATTCTTCCTCCACCACCACATCACTATCACACTGTTCAAGATGGACTTTAGCGACACTTAATATTCCTGTATTAGCTTTTTCTCCTGGCTCTCTCGTTTTTCTTTGATCAAAAGGTGTGACGTTAGTGTTAATAGATAAAGGGTTATATGAAGAAGCAGTGTTGGCAACTGAAGCAGTTATATTGGACTCCAACAAACTATATACAATACGTTTTTCTTCTTGATGGTTTTCTAGGTATTCATCTAATATATCATAGAGCACCTGAAAAGCAAATAAAAAATATTAACGTTCGCTTTATAAATATAATGACAGTAGTAAATATCTAAATTGTTACAAATAATGAATGTGAAAATAACTTTCTTCAAGGAGATTTACAAAAAAAAAATAATACACAACATGAAGAAAATACAAAATACAGAGCAGGAAGCTTTGCTTGGCTCTACCCAGCAACCTGCTAGTGGGATAGAAAATGTCAACAATCAAACAAAAACTGTTCTAAACTGTCTGCCTGACAATTAAGTGGCCTAGCTAATACAAAGCAGCCAATACAGTATTCAGATTACATTTTTGTGAACAACAGTAAAGGTAGATTGAGCCAGGGGGGAGGGGGGGGGGGAGACAATTGATTGGTGCAAAATATGCAGATTCAAGGTACATAGGGAGGGTCTGGAGTATACCTGCAGAAGGTTCTACTCCCCACGCCCGGCCTGGACCTGTGAGAGCTTGGAGCGGCCCGCAGGCTACATATCCTCACAGCCCGGTAGGTCCGGCACTTTTAGAAGAAAATTATCTCGTTTTCTCTTGATGTCCACGGTTGTTCCGGAAATATTGCTTATACTCGCTGGGAAGATGTTGAACAACAGTGGACCTCTGATGTTTGTTTATACAGTGTTCTCTGATTGTGCCTATGGCACCTCTGCTCTTCACTGGCTCTCTTCTGCATTTTCTTCCATGTCGTTCACTTCAGTACAGTACTGTATGTTATTTTACTGTGTAGATTTGGGACCTGGCCCTCCAGTATTTTCTACGTGTATATTATTTGATATCTATCTCATCTCCTTTCTAGTGAGAGCATTTGGAGAGCTTTGAGACGATCCCAATAATTTAGGTGCTTTATCGCTATCTATTCGTTACATATGTGTTATCTGTACTCCCTCTATTTCAGCAATATCTCATACTCTGAAGGGAAAAGTGAGTACTGAGCAGTACACAAAATGAGACAGCACAAGTAATTTGAAGAGTACAACCATTGTGATGGGATCCCTGGATTTGAAAGTTTTCGTAATCCATCCTATCATTTTTCCGGCTGACACAATATTTGCTTGGTTATGCTTCCTAAACGTTAGGTCGTCAGACATCATTATTCCCAAATCCTTTACATGCTGCTTTCCTACTACGGGCACATTTGGTTGGTTTTTATACCCTGTATTATGTTTAAGGTCCTCATTTTTACTGAGGACCAGATACTCCAGATACCCGAGTATCTGGAGTTTGTCACCATTAAACATGTTATTTTCTGTTGCCCAGTCAAAAACTTTGAAAAACTACAACCAAATATTTATAATGTCTTTGACAGAAGTAATTTTCATGCTTATTTTTGTGTCATCTACAAAGGATGATATGAAGCTGTGACTTGTATTTTTGTCTATAACTGATATGAGAAAAGGGAAAAGAAGTGGTGCAAGGACTGTTCCCTGAGGTAGAGCTTTTAATTGTACTTTCATTATTTTATATAGTTGACTGTTACTCTGTGGTCTGTACAACAGAAAACTAAGTATTCAGCGTCCTACTTTACCAGTTATTCCCATTGACCTCATTTTGTGTGCTATCACGCCATAGTCACAGTTATCGAATGCCTTTGCGAAGTCCATGTATACTACATCTGCATTCCGTTTTTCTTCTAATGTCTCAGTGACTTTGTCGTACCTACTTGATGGGGTTTTGGGAGTTCTTCTACTCCCCAAGGCCAGGCTCGACTTGTGAGAGCTTGGTCCACCAGGCTGTTGCTTGGAGCGGCCCGCAGGGCCACATACCCACCACAGCCCGATTGATCCAGAACTTCTCTTAGAAAACAGTCCAGTTTTCTCTTGAAGATGTCCACGGTTATTCCGGCAATATTTCTTATAGTCGCTGGGAGGACGTTGAACAACCGCGGACCTCTGGTGTTTATACAGTGCTCTCTGATTGTGCCTATGGCACCTCTGCTCTTCACTGGTTCAATCTTGCATTTTCTTCCATATCGTTCACTCCAGTATGTTGTTATTTTACTGTGTAGATTTGGGACCTGACCCTCCAGTATTTTCCATGTGTATATTATTTGGTATCTCTCTCGTCTTCTTTCTAGAGAGTACATTTGGAGAGCTTTGAGATGATCCCAATAATTTAGGTGTTTTATCTCGTGTATGCGTGCCGTATATGTTCTCTGTATTCCCTCTATTTCAGCAATCTCTCCTGCTCTGAAGGGGGAAGCGAGTACTGAGCAGTACTCGAGACAGGACAACACAAGTGACTTGAAGAGTACAACCATTGTGATGCAACCCGTTCTCACACTTTCTTACGGTCAATATTGACTTATTAAATACGTGCATGCGAGACATACTAAACATATTAGTTTACCTTGAAAAGTTTCATAGAAAACATCGACCTTACCTAACCGTTTTAGTATGTTAAGATAAGCATCATATTGCTTCGTAATTACAATTATTACTTAACCTATTATAGGTATAGGTTAAGTAATTACAATTATTACTCAATTACAATTATTTATTGACAATTATTAACTTTATTATTATTATTAATTATAATAATTATTATTAATTATAAACATAATTACAATTATTACTTAACCTATACCTATAATAGGTTAAGTAATAATTGTAATTATGAAGCAATAAGATGCTTATCTTAACATACTAAAAAGGTTAGGTAAGGTCGGTGTTTTCTATGAAGCTTTTCAAGGTGAACTAATATGTTAAGTATGTCACATATGCACGTATTTAATAAGTCAATATTGACTAATTGACGAAAGTGCGAGAACGGGTTGTGTGATGGGATCCCTGGATTTCAAAGTTCTCATAATCCATCTTATCAGTTTTCTGGCTGACACAATATTTGCTTGGTTATGCTCCCTAAACGTTAGATCGTCGGACATCATTATTCCCAAATCCTTGACATGCTGTTTTTCTACTATGGGAAGATTCGATTGTGTTTTGTACCCTGTGTTATGTTTCAGATCCTCATTTTTGCCGTACCCGAGTACCTGAAATTTATCACTGTTAAGGACACCCAGTGACGGTGTGTGCAGACCATAATCCCCAAGTTTTCCTGAGGAAAATGAAGCATAATCATCATGTTATTTTCTGCTGCCCAATCAAAAACTTTGTTGACATCTGCTTGTAGTTTTTCAATGTCTTCAGCAGAGGTAATTTTCATGCCGATTTTTGTGTCATCTGCAAAGGACGACACGAAGCTGTGACTTGTATTTTTGTCTATATCAGATATGAGAATAAGGAACAGTAGCAGTGCAAGGACTGTACCTTGAGGTACAGAGCTTTTAACATCGCTTGGACTCGATTTTATCTGATTGACTGTTACTCTTTGTGTTCTGTTCGACAGAAAATTGAGTATCCAGTGTCCTACTTTTCCAGTTTTCCCATTGACCTCATTTTGTGAGCTATCACCCCATGATCACATTTGTCGAACGCCTTTGCAAAGTCTGTGTATACAACATCTGCATTTTGCTTTTCTTCTAGGGCTTCTGTGATTTTGTCATAGTGGTTGAGTAACTGACAGACAGGATCTTCCCGCTCTAAATCCATGTTGTCCTGGATTGTGCAATTCATTCTTTTCCATAAAACTAGAAATTTGATTCCTAATCACTCTTTCAAACACTTTTATTATGTGTGATGTTAGTGCAACTGGCCAATAATTTTTTGCCAAGGCTTTACTTCCCCCCTTGTGCAACGGAGCTATATCTGCAGATTTAAGTGCTGCTGGTATCTTGAGGTTATCTTGAGATGATTTTGGGGCTTTAGTGTCCCCGCGGCCCGGTCCTCGACCAGGCCTCCACCCCCAGGAAGCAGCCCGTGACAGCTGACTAACACCCAGGTACCTATTTTACTGCTAGGTAACAGGGGCATAGGGTGAAAGAAACTTTGCCCATTGTTTCTCGCCGGCGCCTGAGATCGAACCCAGGACCACAGGATCACATGTCCCGCGTGCTGTCCGCTCGGCCGACCGGCTCCCCATCTCCCCTGTATCCAGGCTCTTTCTCCATATTACGCTGAGTGCTCTCGCTACTGGTACTTTACATTTCTTTATGAATATTGAATTCCATGAGTAAAGCCCAGGAGCTGAGTGCATAGGCATATTGTCAATTTCTCTTTCAAAGTCTTCCGAGTTTGTGGTAATATCCATTATATTATCTGCAGCTTGAATGTCATTCATAAAGAAGCTGTCTGGGTCATCAACTTTCATGTTGTTTATTGGTGTGCTAAACATAGCCTCATACTGGCTTCTTACAATTTCACTAATCTCTTTGTTGTCCTCTGTGTACGTACCTTCACTTGTAATTAACGGTCCAATACTGGTCGAGGTTTTGGATTTTGATTTTGCGTATGTGAAAAAATTTCGGATTTTTCCTTCTCTCTTGTATAGCTCTCTGTTCCAATTCCATTTCCTCAGACTCATATGATCGCTTCAACGTTTGTTCTATTTCTTCAATCTCCCTGCTTAGGCTTATTTTCCTTATTCGTCATTCGTCAATTATTCGTATTTGTCAAGTAGCTCTGAGGCATGATCTTCACACTAAATCCATGTTGGGGAGTGGGTGCAGTAAGGAATGGAGGGATGGGGTGGGGGCAAGGTATGGAGGGATGGGGTGGGGGCAAGGTATGGAGGGATGGGGTGGGGGCAAGGTATGGAGGGATGGGGTGGGGGCAAGGAATGGAGGGATGGGGTGGGGGCAAGGAATGGAGGGATGGGGTGGGGGCAAGGAATGGAGGGATGGGGTGGGGGCAAGGTATGGAGGGATGGGGTGGGGGCAAGGAATGGAGGGATGGGGTGGGGGCAAGGAATGGAGGGATGGGGTGGGGGCAAGGTATGGAGGGATGGGGTGGGGGCAAGGTATGGAGGGATGGGGTGGGGGCAAGGTATGGAGGGATGGGGTGGGGGCAAGGTATGGAGGGATGGGGTGGGGGCAAGGAATGGAGAGATGGGGTGGGGGCAAGGTATGGAGGGATGGGGTGGGGGCAAGGTATGGAGGGATGGGGTGGGGGCAAGGTATGGAGGGATGGGGTGGGGGCAAGGTATGGAGGGATGGGGTGGGGGCAAGGTATGGAGGGATGGGGTGGGGGCAAGGTATGGAGGGATGGGGTGGGGGCAAGGAATGGAGGGATGGGGTGGGGGCAAGGTATGGAGGGATGGGGTGGGGGCAAGGAATGGAGGGATGGGGTGGGGGCAAGGAATGGAGGGATGGGGGCAAGGAATGGAGGGATGGGGTGGGGGCAAGGTATGGAGGGATGGGGTGGGGGCAAGGAATGGAGGGATGGGGTGGGGGCAAGGTATGGAGGGATGGGGTGGGGGCAAGGAATGGAGAGATGGGGTGGGGGCAAGGTATGGAGGGATGGGGTGGGGGCAAGGTATGGAGGGATGGGGTGGGGGCAAGGTATGGAGGGATGGGGTGGGGGGCAAGGTATGGAGGGATGGGGTGGGGGCAAGGTATGGAGGGATGGGGTGGGGGCAAGGAATGGAGGGATGGGGTGGGGGCAAGGAATGGAGGGATGGGGTGGGGGCAAGGAATGGAGGGATGGGGTGGGGGCAAGGAATGGAGGGATGGGGTGGGGGCAAGGAATGGAGGGATGGGGTGGGGGCAAGGAATGGAGGGATGGGGTGGGGGCAAGGTATGGAGGGATGGGGTGGGGGCAAGGTATGGAGGGATGGGGTGGGGGCAAGGTATGGAGGGATGGGGTGGGGGCAAGGTATGGAGGGATGGGGTGGGGGCAAGGAATGGAGAGATGGGGTGGGGGCAAGGAATGGAGAGATGGGGTGGGGGCAAGGTATGGAGGGATGGGGTGGGGGCAAGGTATGGAGGGATGGGGTGGGGGCAAGGTATGGAGGGATGGGGTGGGGGCAAGGTATGGAGGGATGGGGTGGGGGCAAGGTATGGAGGGATGGGGTGGGGGCAAGGTATGGAGGGATGGGGTGGGGGCAAGGAATGGAGGGATGGGGTGGGGGCAAGGTATGGAGGGATGGGGTGGGGGCAAGGAATGGAGGGATGGGGTGGGGGCAAGGAATGGAGGGATGGGGGCAAGGAATGGAGGGATGGGGTGGGGGCAAGGTATGGAGGGATGGGGTGGGGGCAAGGAATGGAGGGATGGGGTGGGGGCAAGGTATGGAGGGATGGGGTGGGGGCAAGGAATGGAGAGATGGGGTGGGGGCAAGGAATGGAGGGATGGGGTGGGGGCAAGGAATGGAGGGATGGGGTGGGGGCAAGGAATGGAGGGATGGGGTGGGGGCAAGGAATGGAGGGATGGGGTGGGGGCAAGGAATGGAGGGATAGGGTGGGGGCAAGGAATGGAGGGATGGGGTGGGGGAAAGGAATGGAGGGATGGGGTGGGGGCAAGGAATGGAGGGATGGGGTTATCTTGAGGTTATCTTGAGATGATTTCGGGGCTTCTTAGTGTCCCCGCGGCCCGGTCCTCGACCAGGCCTCCACCCCCAGGAAGCAGCCCGTGACAGCTGACTAACACCCAGGTACCTAATTTACTGCTAGGTAACAGGGGCATAGGGTGAAAGAAACTCTGCCCATTGTTTCTCGCCGGCGCCTGGGATCGAACCCAGGACCACAGGATCACAAGTCCAGCGTGCTGTCCGCTCGGCCGACCGGCTCCCTAGGGGTGGGGGCAAGGAATGGAGGGATGGGGTGGGGGCAAGGAATGGAGAGTAGAGGAGGGGTAAGGTATGGAGGGTAGGGGAGGGGTAAGGTAAGGAGGGTAGGGGAGGGGTAAGGTAAGGAGGGTAGGGGAGGGGTAAGGTATGGAGGGTAGGGGAGGGGTAAGGTATGGAGGGTAGGGGAGGGGTAAGGTATGGAGGGTAGGGGAGGGGTAAGGTAAGGAGGGTAGGGGAGGGGTAAGGTATGGAGGGTAGGGGAGGGGTAAGGTATGGAGGGTAGGGGAGGGGTAAGGTAAGGAGGGTAGGGGAGGGGTAAGGTATGGAGGGTAGGGGAGGGGTAAGGTATGGAGGGTAGGGGAGGGGTAAGGTATGGAGGGTAGGGGAGGGGGTAAGGTATGGAGGGTAGGGGAGGGGTAAGGTATGGAGGGTAGGGGAGGGGTAAGGTATGGAGGGTAGGGGAGGGGTAAGGTATGGAGGGTAGGGGAGGGGTAAGGTAAGGAGGGTAGGGGAGGGGTAAGGTAAGGAGGGTAGGGGAGGGGTAAGGTAAGGAGGGTAGGGGAGGGGTAAGGTATGGAGGGTAGGGGAGGGGTAAGGTAAGGAGGGTAGGGGAGGGGTAAGGTAAGGAGGGTAGGGGAGGGGTAAGGTAAGGAGGGTAGGGGAGGGGTAAGGTAAGGAGGGTAGGGGAGGGGTATGGTAAGGAGGGTAGGGGAGGGGCAAGGTATGGAGGGTAGGGGAGGGGTAAGGTATGGAGGGTAGGGGAGGGGTAAGGTAAGGAGGGTAGGGGAGGGGTAAGGTATGGAGGGTAGGGGAGGGGTAAGGTATGGAGGGTAGGGGAGGGGTATGGTAAGGAGGGTAGGGGAGGGGTAAGGTAAGGAGGGTAGGGGAGGGGTAAGGTATGGAGGGTAGGGGAGGGGTAAGGTATGGAGGGTAGGGTAGGGGTAAGGTATGGAGGGTAGGGGAGGGGTAAGGTATGGAGGGTAGGGGAGGGGTAAGGTAAGGAGGGTAGGGGAGGGGTAAGGTATGGAGGGTAGGGGAGGGGTAAGGTATGGAGGGTAGGGTAGGGGTAAGGTATGGAGGGTAGGGGAGGGGTAAGGTATGGAGGGTAGGGGAGGGGTAAGGTAAGGAGGGTAGGGGAGGGGTAAGGTATGGAGGGTAGGGGAGGGGTAAGGTAAGGATGGTAGGGGAGGGGTAAGGTATGGAGGGTAGGGGAGGGGTAAGGTATGGAGGGTAGGGGAGGGGTAAGGTATGGAGGGTAGGGGAGGGGGTAAGGTATGGAGGGTAGGGGAGGGGGTAAGGTATGGAGGGTAGGGGAGGGGTAAGGTATGGAGGGTAGGGGAGGGGTAAGGTATGGAGGGTAGGGGAGGGGTAAGGTATGGAGGGTAGGGGAGGGGTAAGGTATGGAGGGTAGGGGAGGGGTTACCTTGAGGTTACAGCGAGTTATTTTCGGAGCTTAGCGTCTCCCATGGCCCAGTCATCGACCAGGCCTCCTGGTTGCCGGACTGGTCGACCAGGCTGTTAGACGCGGCTGCTTGCAGCCTGACGTATGAGTCATAGCCTGGTCGATCAGGTATCTTTTGGAGGCGCTTGTCAAGTTCTCCATTAAACACTGTGGGGTCGGCCAGTTATGCCCCTTATGTGTAGTGGAAGCGTTTTGAACAGTCTCGGGCCTATGATATTGAGAGAGTTCTCTCTGAGTACCTATTGCACCTTTGCTTTTCAATAGGGGGGTATTCCGCACATCCTGCCATGCCTCCTGGTTTCACGTGGTGTAATTTCTGTGTGTAGGCTTGGGACCAGCCCCTCTAATATTTTCCACGTGTAAATTATTATGTATCTCTCCCGCCTGCGCTCAAGAGAATACTGATTAAGGCTCTTTAGTCGGTCCCAATAGTTTAGATGTTTTCCGAGTGGATTGTAGCAGTAAAGGATCTCTGCATGCTCTCCAGGTCAGCAATTTCTCCAGCTTTGATAGGGTCTGTCATTGTGCAGCAGTATTCCACTAGAGAGCACTAGCGTCTTGAAGAGTATCATCATTGGTATAGCATCTTTAGTTTGAAAAGTTCTTGTTATCCAACCCATCATTTTTCTTGCAGTTATGACGGCTACTTTATTGTGCTCTTTAAAAGGTAAGGTCTTCTGACAGGAGTACAACCAAATCCTTTACATTGCTTCGTTCTATGTTATGATTTGACTGCATTTTGTACGTGGTTTCTTTTATATTTTCATTTTTTTCCGTAATGCAAGAGCCGGAACTTATCTTCATTGAATATCATTTTATTTTCTGTAGCCCACTAAAGACCTGATTTACATCTGATTGGAGGTTCGCTGTGTCCTCTATGTTGTCTACGCTCATAAAAATCCTAGTGTCATCTGCAAAGGATGATACAGTACTATAGATTGTGTCCTTGTTTATGTCCGAAATGAGGATGAGAAAAAGTACTGGAGCAAGCACAGTACCCTGGGGGACTGAGCTCTTCATGGTTCATGGTCCGATTTTGTTGACTATTACATATTGGGTTCTATTAGTCAGGAAATTGTAGATCCATCTGCCTATTTTTCTGGTAATTTGTTTTGCACACATTTTGTGTGCGATAACACCATGGTCACATTTGTTGAAGGCTTTTGCAAAATCTGCGTAAATTACATCAGTTTTGCTTGTATTACATGGCATCTAATGCCATGTAATAGTGGTCCAACAACTGTGATAGGCAAGAGCACCCAGTTCTGAACCCATGCTGTCCAGGGTTATGGAGATGCTGTGATTCTGTGTGTTTTGTGATCTTATTTCTTAGCATGGGGATGGGGGGGATTAAGGTATGGAGGGATGGGGGGGGGGGAAGGTATGGAGGGATGGGGAAGGGGGAAGGCAAGGTATACCTTCACAATAGCCAGAACAATGTAGTAAAGCTTATCAGCTGGTTTGACCCCCCTGATCTCATGGTGATTATTTAAGTGGTAATGACATATGCCAAGTTTAAATTGTAACCAAAACCCTAAGAATTGCTGCCTAACAATGAAATTTACAGTCAACACGCAGGTGGCACCAGTGACAATATCTGCACGAGAGAACAAGAAGAGACTTTTTGATACAGCAATGCAACGATACACCACCAAGCATAGCAAGTGGAGTTAACAGTGTCAGAATCCAAAGAACTATTATCTAATTTATAATAAATATTATACAAAATTAAGTGCACCTTCCACTGGTCGAGGGGTTTAACTTCCACTGCGACCACATCTCCGTGCAATGCAGCGTTGCGGTCAAGTACCCCGCCAATATAGATGTCCGTCCCCCCGTCCTAATCAAAAGATTAACAAGGGATTAGTAAAGTGATGAGTAATGAGGAATTATTTGTTAATACTGAATATTCATAGAAACAATGCATCATTATTGCACAAGTATATACTGTACCTGAATTAGTGTACATATTATATATAAATATACATTACAGTATCTACATTGCAAACACACAGCACTCGTAAAAAAATATGCGCCGCCCTACTCGAGGCGGTGGGTACTTATGATAAAAAAAAAAAAAAGGATGGTCTTGTAGATGAAAGACTTTCGACAGAAGTGTGCAATGGCTACATGACATCACAGCAGGCATTAGCTCTATGGAGTGACCACAATACCAGAGCCCGTGGCCTCCTGGCTGCCATCGTGAGTGGTTATGTGCTGCATTTTGCTCCATGGCCGTCCGTTGTTTTTTGCACTTATTAGCAGGGTGTGTGGTATGACATTGTTTAGTAACTTGGTAGCTGCCATAAAAACAAAGAAACCACTGCTCAGATCATTGCTTTAAAGGAAGCAGATCACCAAAGTAAGGAAATATGTTAATTGTTGGTTGTAGCCAAGTTGGCATGAGGAAGCAATGAGCGTGTTTCCGAGGGGGAACAGTGGTGACACCATCACAAACATCAGTCTGGTCATCCAAGGAAGACTTTAAAGTTTTGAAGGGCACTCCCCAATGCACACTTTAGAACATTCACAGATCTTGAAGACACCATCCTGGAGCAACCAGACCGATGTTTCTTTGATGGCAAGTCACTACCGTTTCCCCCTTGAAAATGCACACAATACTTCCTCACATCGACTTGCCTACCCTACACCCACCAATTAACATATTTCCTTACTTTAGTGGCCTGCTTCCTTTAAAGCAATGACATGAGCAATGGTTACTCGCCTTAGTTCCTTGGTAGGTACCATAAGAACGATACCACCATTAACGGTGATAAAACATGGCAAGGTGTCAGAGGAAGATGCACACCATAACCGCTCACTATGAATGCCTTGGGACAACTCTGCCTCCCAACTGTGTGGCTCCAGGGAGCTAACACACACACCGTGACGTCATGTACCCAGTCACGATGCCTCGAGCAGGGTGGTGCATACTTTTGACACATACTGTATATATATTTTATTAACTAGTATCATTGGAACTTCAAACTCAACCCTGAAAAGTACAAGATCAATGTCCTACCCTACAGGCAATTTATGCTCACAGGCATAATTATTCTAAAATCAATTATACTGATATCATTACATCTTAACAATGATAATCCACAGTAAAGCTTCATTTAAACTTTCAACTCAATTTATGTAGAGCCAGCAAAATTTGTCACTAGGTTATACTAAAATAAAGTTATAAACATGAAATCTCCACTTCATTTAAAACTGTCTTTAAACAAACTAAGTAACTTAAGGCATTAATGACAAACTTAAGAAGCAGAAATAAAAGGACTGTACAGTACTGGCTCTAACAGGACAACGAGAATGAAACGGGTGATACCGAGAATTACCGGCGCGCTGATATACGCATCTTCGTAGTTTTTGGGGTTGATTCTCAACACACCCTGCAAAAAATATAATATACATTACTAAAAAGCATAATAACAACCGTCTTGTACAAGTGATTTTTAGTCAAACAAATTGACTATATTGATAATCAACTCCGACAACTTGTAGTCATTTCATTCTTAATTACTCTATGCAAGCAAACTGATTAATCAATATTAAGAACAATAACAATACCAGTCCTAACAGATTAATGATCATTACAACGATTAAACAGTTTAAGAAGTACTGTCACATCATTTACAAAACAATATTAGCCATTGCAATGCACATCACAGCTTGTGCAATGCACATCACAGCTTGTGCAATGCAGGCTAATGAACACCACCACCTGTGACACATTAATACAACCTGTTAGTACAAAAACACTAAATAAATAATATGAGAAACAATGAAAATAAATTGACAAATTATTGACAATTAATTGTCAATTATTACAATTATTCCCATGTGGCACCTCACCTCTTCACCAAAAAAATAATTATCCGGACCAGTACAACTAAACTACTGGAGATAAGACACATTATACTTGGATTTTCATGCTTCTTGGATGCTAATTAACATGTCAACAAATATATATTTAAAGAATGACAAAATAAAATGTTAAGAGAAAATGTTTTCAGATTTTTTTTTTTTTTTTTTGACCACCACAAAATTGTTGGCAGCATTCAACAGGTGAGCAGTTCAGAGGTTAACAGATGCTAAACAATTACCTGTACAAACATAAGTGAGGAACATTTTCAAATTTTACACATTACTCCCTTCTGAAGACTTCACTCCCTAAATATACTGCAAAACCAATACAGTACTTAACAATATTTGGAAAAAAATTCTTTGCAACTAATTTTTAGAAAATGTACACTATTAGCTGATGTTTATTAATTTCAATGATGTCAAGCAAAATTACTGCCATATAGTGTTAACTATGATCATATATTTTTGTTATCATATTTTGGCTCTCTGTAAATGGGTAGATAACTTCAGGTTATGGAAAATACAAAAGTCCTGACCTCCTTAATCAAGATATTTTTTACATCTACAATCTACATCACTCACTATTCAGATGGAACCGACATGTATTTAGCCAAGTCCTTCACCCCATTCATCCCATTATAACCTCCATAATCTGCAGTCTGTCCTAATAAAGGGATGGTAAAACCACATCTTATTTGGGCCAAATTAGCAAGTTATGAATTAGTGAGCAGTTACTTTACTGCACAAGTGCCTTCAGTCATCATTGTTAACAACCAATCTGGGAATTAAGAGCATGGGTAGGACTGATATTCCATTGGAAGCAATGAATTCCCTGACCTTTAACCCTTACACTGCTATAAAGGGCTATTTGTCTAATCGAACAGCATATGTTTTGTTTAATGGTGTTAAAAGCACAGAGAGCAAACACTTTGAACTGGGAACTCCACAAGGAGGGGTTCTCAGTCCCTTGTTGTTCAACGTTCTGATGCATAAACTTATTAAAGATCTTCCAACTAATAATGAAGACACTGTCATTTGTTATGCTGATGATATATGTTTACAGGCTGCCACCGAGCCTAGAATGCAAGTTCTGCTCGACGCTTTTGCTACTAGAGCTGAGGAATATGACCTCCTTATCTCTGTACAGAAAACTCGTGCCCTCATTCCATGTGGTATTCCACCAGCCAATTATCATATAGATGGGCGAGCACTTGAGAACTGCGAGTCTTGCAGATACCTTGGTGTCCCCATTAACGACCCTGGGTACCTTTCTTCTCTCAAGAGGAGACTTTGGGAGAGATTAAAGCCCTTGCGGGTCCTTGTTGGTGTCAATCATGGACTTAACATGAGACTTGCTAGAATGTTTTATGTATCATTTATACGCTCTGTGATTGACTACAATGCTCTACATCTCACAGTGTATACTGACAAAGAGCTGAAATCTCTTGAAACCTTGCAAAATGAAGCTATGCGTCTCATCCTTGGGGCTCCAAAGTCCACGAGAATAGTTAACATGAGAGCAGAGTTAAAATTACCTACCATAAGTGAGAGAATTTTGTCTATTAGCACAGTTTTCGGCGTGAAGGCATTGAGTAGATCTAGACAACACATGAAGTTTCAAGCTAAACTTTGTAATATGCTGCACTCACCTGAGGTCTATAGAAGAAGAACGAAATCTGATTATGTATATGGGTTCTACAAGGTAGCCAACTCCATCAAAATATTAAATATGTACCCAACTCGACTAATGATTAATCAGCCAATTACTCCATGGGATAACTGGGATCTATCAGTTGATTTTGTAAATGCGCCCAAGAAAGATAGTGTGCACACTACATTATTAAAACAGTTAACACTGAAAAGCATCACTGAAAGTACTCAGAGTATGGGTAACGATGTTTATCAGTGCTATACCGACGGCTCTGTAGAAGAAGGTGGACGATGTACCAGATGTGCATGTAACATATTTGAACAATCTTCTCTCGTACATACAGCAATGAAGCGCGTCAATGACTGGGCAAGTACAACTCAAACCGAACTTGCAGGCATATACCTTGCCACTGAATTTTTAAAAGACAAAGGCAGTGGACTTATATACTGTGACTCGCAGAGTGCACTCCTGGCATTGAACGCACATAGTAGTGACATCCAGAAAATAGTCAGTGATATTCGAATGAATGTTTTAGCTGCCAAAGAAAACAGGTTTGAGATTAAATTCCTATGGATACCATCACATGTTGGCATCTCAAGGCATGACACTGTTGATATGCTTGCTAAGTCAGCCTGCAGAAAACCAGTGGTAGAAATTGATATGGGTGTTTCATTAGCAGTGACAAAGAGAATACTTAAACAAATATCTAATGAAAATCTCACCGACCTAACAAATTCTCAAGACCTGAAAGTTGTAGCATTAAATATTATGATAGATATCGTGAAGAGACATTCACATATGGGACTAATAGAACAAGAACCCGGCAATGTGATGTTATAGTGGCCAGAATACGCCTGGGATATAGACGTATCTGGCAGCTTTCTCAAAACCCAAATGTCGAGTACACAATGTGTCAACTTTGTGAAAGAGAAAACATGCACTCTCTTGAACATTATATTGTAGAATGTCCCATACTGACTGACTTTCGCCCTCCTGGGCTAAGGTATGCTGAACTCTGTAGTTACTATATGAGTACTGGAACACTTGATATATTGGACTTGTATCCAAGATTGACCATGTAATATATCAATCATACAATGTATATATATGATGTAACTATATAACCTGAGCTTGTAAAAGCACCTTCATCACCTTCAGTGATTAAGTGCTTAATTGCACACTAGTTTCTTTATCAGCTACCTCACCCTGTCAGAGTAAATGAGACAAATGTATGTGAATGCATGTGTGTGTGTGTGTATATATGTATGTATATGTGTGTGTGTGTATGTATATGTATGGGTATAAAGTATATATGGAAGCTGATCAGAATTACATTTCACCTTTGTGAATGTACATTAATGACACTATGTAAAAGACACATCTAGCACTTTATGTAGGACATACGTAAATCTGTGTATCTATGTATTTACGTATGTAGGTTAGCTTAGCATTTTAAAAGCACCGAATCACCTTCTGTGGTTGAGTGTTCAATAAAACCCTTGAACTATATGTTTAACACTTCTCTAACCCTGTCCATGGAAGACAGAAGAAAATGTATATATGCTGGTTAGCATTGTAAATGTGTGGTCACGTCTGTGGTAGAAAATAATAAAAAACTGCTACAGCCTGGGATGTAAATGGGAGGGGGGGGGTTATAAGCTTGGGTTGGGTGAAAATATATTTGAATTATGTGAAAATTAATATTAAATGTTAAACAAATCTGATTCAGCAATACCAATGAACATCAGGCTCAGCTACCTGGCCAGAAGGCAGCTGTACCGCATGAAGCACATGTATGTCCTAGACCCCGAAGAACCCCACGAAGCAGTGAACACCACCAGCGACGAGATCCATGAACCACCACACAGAACCAGAAGAATCACTCTCCAACAAAAAGTGATCAGATACATCCATGATCAGGCCTTCCCAAGACCTCAAATACTAAGTGGTCTGCGAGACGACCCAGATGAGTGGCCCATCCGGACCCAATCTACACCAAATGAAGAATAAAGACAGGAAAAAAATAATAAATAAATAAATTAATTAATTAAAAAAAATAAAAAATAAACAAAAAATAATAAATAAATACTACTACAAAAAAAATATACAACCAAAAACCCTTTGTTGTGCTATGAGAAGTGTAACTACCCTGATGTTGCTAAGATTAATCTCCTTTAGCCAACTCCATCGGCTCTAGTGCTCCAAGACACCAGCTAGGTCACAAACACTAGCCCCCCCCCCCCAGCCAATGTACTGACAACCCAACATCACACACACGCAAACAAACGACACACACACGTCAACCCATGGCGGACAGGCCACCGAACTTTCAAACCTCCTCTCTCTCTCTCTCTCTCTCTCTCTCTCTCTCTCTCTACACCCACATCCTCTTCCTGAATTTCATCTCCCCATCCCTCTACCTCCCCCATACTTTCCAATACCTTTGGACATAAAAGCGAAAGCGATCATGAAAATCAAAATATTTTCAGAAATTGATTTTAGACAAATTTTAAAAAAAGAAGAACGTTTTGTTGATAAGAACAGCTCCTATTAACTGGAACTGATGGATAATGCAATAATAAAGAAATGCAAGCACCTGTCCGACACACAAAGAAGAACAGTAGCAAGAAGTATCCACAAAGTGGATATGCAGCTAGTGCCTTTATAGCATTGCTCAGTAATACATAATAATGAGTATGTTATTATGCTCTACTTTTTTATATTTCATATAAATACTTTGCCCAATGATATCATCTGTTACTTTCATCAATGTCCAAATTTTTTTTTTTTTTAAGATTTTAGTATTTTTTTCATTTTTGTTTATTATCTGATTTTACAGTAACCTTCACAACCTGGAGTGCATACAAGTCCCTAACTATGTGAAGAGCAAATAAAATTAGTCATTTAATTAATCGGTCATAACTCGCAAAACTTGGGACTGAATTTTTTTGGCGGTTTCTTCACAGATTTCAAACATTATTTCCTTTGCCCTTATATATTTTTTTTTGTTTTGTTTTTTGAGATATATATACAAGTTGTTATATTCTTGTACAGCCACTAGTACGCGTAGCGTTTCGGGCAGGTCCTGGAATACGATCCCCGCCGCGAAGAATCGTTTTTTCATCCAAGTACACATTTTACTGTTGCGTTAAACAGAGGCTACAGTTAAGGGATTGCACCCAGTAAATCCTCCCCGGCCAGGATACGAACCCATGACATAGCGCTCGCGGAACGCCAGGCAAGTGTCTTACCACTACACCACGGAGACTCATAGGTTGTTTTGATGATTAGGTACCAGGTTTGGGGTTTTTTCCACTTCAATAAAGTACTGTATACCCTAAATGCATCGCCTAAATCATTATAATTATTATAATTATCCCTATATTTAGTTTTTTGGAGAGTAATTTTTTCTAAATTTCATTTCAACACAACTTTCAAAAAATTACGTGAAAGTTGTGACCTACAACTTTCACATATTCGAGTCTGAATGCCAAACAATGTTTATCTTTGGGTATGTTACTTGTATGTTATCAAAACATACAAGTAAATTCATGAATAAGAACTGCCATATTCATTGTCGATAACTTCAACTTCAATTATATCTATAACTAGAATTTCAACTTACTTCAGTATTCAAAAATGTAGTTTCTGACCAATTCTCCCCATTTTTACATATAGTGTGCACAGCTGTCTGTTCTCCAATCCCTATAGAATTGATTTTTCATAACCCTTTAACATTTGGAGTTGTAAATTTTTGTTGCCTAAATTTGCGCATACAGTATTTCAAATGCTATATTGACTTTTTTTTTTTACACTAAACAGTTTTTTTAAGTACTGTACTGTACATTTTTTACAGTACAGTTTTACAGGTACAGTTTTCTTTTAAGTACATTGTGTCAGCCTGAAAACCTATATTATAAATACAGTGGGGCCTCGATTTACGACGGTAATCCATTCCCAGAGACGTATTGTAAGTCAAAATATCCCAAGTCGAAATATTGTAAGTCGAAACGATTTTCCCATAAGAAATAAAGGGAATTGACTTCTGTTGAAGACATTGAAAAACTACAAGCAGATATTAATAAAGTTTTCGACTGGGCAGCAGACAATAACATGATGTTCAACAGTGATACATTCCAGGTACTCGGGTAGGGTAAAAATGAGGACCTTAAACATACTACAGGGTACAAAACACAATCAAATCTGCCCATAGTAGGAAAGCAACATGTAAAGGATTTGGGAACAATGATGTCTGACGACATAACGTTTAGCGAGCATAACCAAGCAAACATTGCGTCAGCCAGAAAAAATGATAGGCTGGATTACGAGAACTTTCAAATCCAGAGATCCCATCACAATGGTTGTACTCTTCAAATCACTTGTACTGTCCCGGCTTGTGTACTGCTCAGTGCTCACTTCCCCCTTCACAGCAGGAGAGATTGCTGAAATAGAGGGAATACAGAGAACATATACGGTATACATAGACGCGATAAAGCACCTAAATTATTGGGATCGTCTCAAAGCTCTCCAAAGGTACTCGCTACAAAGGAGACGAGAGAGATCTCAAATAATATGTACGTGGAAATACTGGAGGGCCTGGTCCCAAATCTGCACAGTAAAATAACAACATACTGGAGTGAACAATATGGAAGAGAGTGCAGAATAGAACAAGTGAACAGCAGGGGTGCCATAGGCACAATCAGAGAACACTGTATAAACATCAGAGGTCCACAGTTTTTCAACATCCTCCCAGCGAGCATAAGAAATATTGCCGGAACAACCGTGGAAGTCTTCACGAAGAAAACTATTCAGTTTTCGCTTGGAGTGCTGGACAAAACCAGGTTGTGGTGAATATGTAGGCCTGCGGGCCGCTACAAGCAACAGCCTGGTGGACCAAACTCTCACAAGTCAAGTCTGGCCTCGGGCCGGGCTTGGGGAGTAGAAGAACTCCCAGAACTCCATCAAGCAGATACTGTATATAATGTGTATACTGTACAGTGTAATAACAGCAAAGATACTCTTTTATCGTTTTATGAACATAATTGAATCACTACACCATACTTTTGAGCATAGCAATGGTTCACACATTTTATGATTTAAATATATATACACTGCACACTATTAAATGATGTTACTTACACAAAAAAAAAAAGTGAAATAATTAGATACTATCTAATAGTACACTATCATCCCATGGCAAAACCTGTCATTCACCACCACCATCCCATGATGGTACACTGCCATCCCATAGCAAAACCTGGCATACCAACATAGTACAACCTGGATATTATGAATACGCTACAAAATTTAATTCATTTCCGGGAGTTCTATGACCAGGGATTGGATACCAAGAAATTCATGCAGTAATCCACAATACAAATACGTACTATATTTATAGTTTAATGTTATATAAACAGTACAGCCTATGTTTTTAAATATCATGCCCCAAGCTTTCTGTCCTTACCTCAATTACTTCTCCTTTCTTGAGTTTCTCCTGCACTTGGAAAAGACTCATGTAGGAGTTAAACACTGGGAGAGATTTTTTAGCCGACATGTGCCTAGGGGTGCTTGCTCCAGTTGGGGTGGCACAGCTAATGTTGCGAGGGGGAGTCTGCCGAGGAGGGGTCGTCCGCCTGGAGGAAGAGGAAGAGTTCTGCTGTTCTCCATTTGCCATCCTGAAAATATATTATAATAATTAAGAAATCTGGGTATCTTTGGAACAAAAGCAATATCACTTAGTTTACTTGTCATAATCAATATCTAATTTGATGTATGCAGATGATGCAGATCTTCTCGGAAAATTACTGAAGATAATTCAACAAACGAATTCTTCATGAATGGGATTCCGTCATCAAATCATAATCAGATGTCACACTAACTCCACTTGATTTTGAAGTAGCCGTAGACAGTATGCCTATGCACTCTGCGCCAGGCCCTGATTCCTGGAACTCCATATTCATCAATAACTGGGAAAAAACACTGACGCAGGCCCTAAACATTATTTTGGAGACTGAGCTTCGATACTGGTGTTACCCCTGACATACTAAAAACCACAGAAATAGTACCACTCCAAAAAGGAGGGAATAAAGCAAATGCAAAAAACTATAGGCCGATAGCACTAACATCACACACAAAAAAAAAACTTAGTGATAAGAAGCGAGATCATAAAACACATGGAATCACAGCATCTACATAACCCTGGTCAACACGATTTCAGACCAGACCGCTCTTGCCTATAACAATTGCTGGATCACTATGACATGGCCTTAGATGCCATTGAAGACAGACAACACACTGACGTTATATACACAGATTTTGCAAAAGCCTTCGACAAATATCACCATGGTATATCAAATAGAGAGCCAGGGGCTGAGCGGACAGAACACTGGACGTGTGATCCTGTGGTCCTGGGTTCGAACTCGGGCGCCAGCGAGAAACAATGGGCCGAGTTTCTTACACCCTGATGCTCCTGTTACCTAGCAGTAAATAGGTACCTGGGAGTTAGTCAGCTGTCACGGGTTGCTTCCTGGGGGTGGAGGCCTGGTCAAGGACCGGGCCGCGGGGACACTAAAGCCCCGAAATCATCTCAAGATAACGTCAAGAAGATTGTGTTATTGCACACAAAATGCTTTCTAAAGAAATCACCAGAAAAATGGTAAGATATCTACAATTTCTTAACAAAACCCAGTATAAGTGGCACCTTGGCTTATGAATGCCCCTCTTTACAAACTTTGTGTGTTACGAGCCCAATTTCTTTGTAAAATCTGAATCGGGTTACGAACATTGCCATGGGAAATGTAGTTTGCTGATACGCGTATGGCCAACCTAGCGCGTGGTGGCACGGGAACTACACCTCAGTTTACCAGTGCCTCCCGCCTAGTAATCTTGAGGTTATCTTGAAATGATTTTGGGGCTTTTAGTGTCCCCGCGGCCCGGTCCTCGACCAGGCCTCCACCCCCAGGAAGTAGCCCGTGACAGCTGACTAACACCCAGGTACCTATTTTACTGCTAAGTAACAGGAGCATAGGGTGAAAGAAACTCTGCCCATTGTTTCTCGCCGGCGCCTGGGATCGATCCCGGGACCACAGGATTACAAGTCCAGCGTGCTGTCCGCTTGGCCGACCGGCTCCCTACAATGGACTAGTGACAATCACGCTTGAATTCTTTGTAAAGAATGTGTTTTTTGGATTTTTGGGTATCTGAACATAAAAGTTATTATTATTATATATCTCGCCATAGGGTCCCAAGAAAGCCAGTGGTAAGGTTCAACCCAAGAAAACACATATGAGGATGACCATACGGGAAAAACAAGAGATCATTTGTAAACATGAAAATGGTACAAGGGTTATTGAACTAGCTATGCAGTACAATAAATCTGTCAACAATATGCACTATAATTGCTAAGAAAAAGGACATTACAAGTGCTAATTCGGCAAAAAGTATATCAACAATTACGAAACAAAGAACAAACACTTGAGGATGTTGGAAAGTTGTTAGGAGGTGATAGAGTTTCAGAGGCCATCATTTGTGAAAAAGCAAGACTACTGCATGAAGATACTGTATTTTAAAGAATAACCCCTGGAACAAGTGCTGCAGATACGAAAGAGTTTAAGGCGAGCAGGGGATGGTTTGAGAAATTTAGAAAAAGAAGTGGCTTAAACAGTGTTGTGAGAGTTGTGTGTTGAGAGTTGGTGGAGGAACACAGCGAACAACTGACCACTCAACAAATCCTGGCCCTTCACAAGGAGCAGCAACAAGAGGCAGCTGAGGAAATTTCTTCAGGTAAAGAGGAGGCAGTACAGAACGTGCCTTAACCTTTTTAATGATACTGATGTCTCAATGGAAGGGACGCCCCTTCCAAAACACCTCTCCTCCTCCTCCCCCCTCCTCACTGTCTTCCATACGCAACAAGTCATCAATAAAGGTAAGCAATAACGTGTATATACTTTAGTACTAAAGATTTGGATGAATTAGGTATAAAGTTTACTTTGAAGTTAATATTTTTGGGGGTGTGGAACGGATTAATTCAATTTACATTATTTCTTATGGGAAAATTGGCTTCGGTTTAAGAATTTTCGGGTTAAGAACCGTCTCGGGGAACGGATTAAATTTTTAAGCTGAGGTACCACTGTATAGTCAACAAAGTAAAATCCAGACCATCAACCATGAAGACCCAAGTCCCCCAGGGTACTGTGCTTGCTCCAGTATTCTCTCTCATTCTCATATCAAACACATTAAAGAACCCAAACTATAGTACTGTATCATCCTTTGCAGATGACACCAAGATTTTCATGAGTAAGCAACAGAGGACACAGTAAACCATGTAACTGATGTAAATCAGGTCTAGCAATGGACTATAGAAAACCATGCACAAAATGTAGTCAAATCACACCATGGAATGTAAAAGCAATGTAAAAGATTTGGGTGTCATCATGGCAGAAGACCTTGCCTTTAAAGAACACAAAGTAGCCATGACAGCCAAGAAAAATGACAGGTTGGATAACAAGAGCCTTTCACACTAGAGATGCCGTACCAATGATGATACCTTTCAAGAGACTAGTGCTCTCTAATGGAATACTGTTGGACAATGACAGCCCCTTTCAAAGCTGGAGAAAATGCTGACCTGGAGAGCGTGCAGAAATCCTTTACTGCTAGAATCCACTCGGTAAAACATCTAAATTATTGGGACCAACTAAAATTCCCAAATCTTTATTCTCTTGAGCGCAGGCGGGAGAGATACATAATAATTTACATGTGAAAAATATTAAGAGGGGCTGGTCCCAAACCTGCACACAGAAATAACATCACATGAGACCAGGAGGCATGGCAGGATGGGCATGTCTTTTCAACCCCCAATGAAGAGCAGAGGTGCAACAGGTACTTAGAGAGAACTATCAACATCAGAGGTCCAAGACTGTTCAACACGCTTCCACTACACATAAGGGGGCATAACTGACCGACTCCTTGCAGTGTTTGAGAGAGTACTGGATAAACACTTCCAAAGGATACCTGATCAACCAGGCTGCGAGCTGCCACATCCAACAGCCTGGTTGACCAGTCCAGCAACAAGGAGGCCTGGTTGAGGACCGGGCTGCGAGGACGTTGAGCGCCAAAATCAACGCAAGGTATATGGTGTAAATGAGGCATTTTCTTACTGTAGTGTTGCAGTGGGAGCTCGGCCCTGCCAAACATTTTACCCATTTATGTCATTGTTATTGTTTACACATGCATAACCTAACCCAACCTATCTTAATTAATATTAACCTAGCTGAACATAACTACCTAACCTAATAAAAACAATTTTATGAAATGCACACGAGACGTCACTGACACCAGAGTTAATATTGGGGCAGGTTTTGGGTGCCGCTTGTGTTGCTTGCTGCCCGCCGCTGGTGTTGCTTGCTGCCCGCCGCTGGTGTTGCTTGCTGCCCGCCGCTGGTGTTGCTTGCTGCCCGCCGCTGGTGATGCTTGCTGCCCGCCGCTTGTGTTGCTTGCTGCCCGCCGCTGGTGTTGCTTGCTGCCCGCCGCTGGTGTTGCTTGCTGCCCGCCGCTGGTGTTGCTTGCTGCCCGCCGCTGGTGTTGCTTGCTGCCCGCCGCTGGTGTTGCTTGCTGCCCGCCGCTGGTGTTGCTTGCTGCCCGCCGCTGGTGTTGCTTGCTGCCCGCCGCTGGTGTTGCTTGCTGCCCGCCGCTGGTGTTGCTTGCTGCCCGCCGCTGGTGTTGCTTGCTGCTCGCCGCTGGTGTTGCTTGCTGCTCGCCGCTGGTGTTGCTTGCTGCTCGCCGCTGGTGTTGCTTGCTGCCCGCCGCTGGTGTTGCTTGCTGCCCGCCGCTGGTGTTGCTTGCTGCCCGCCGCTGGTGTTGCTTGCTGCCCGCCACTTGCTTGCTGCTGGTGTTGCTTGTGTTTGCAGCTTGCTTGCTGCTGGTGTTGCTTGTGTTTGCAGCTTGCTTGCTGCTGGTGTTGCTTGTGTTTGCAGCTTGCTTGCTGCTGGTGTTGCTTGTGTTTGCAGCTTGCTTGCTGCTGGTGTTGCTTGTGTTTGCAGCTTGCTCTCTGCTGGTGTTGCTTGTGTTTGCTGCTTGCTTGCTGCTGGTGTTGCTTGTGTTTGCTGCTTACTTGTTTGCTGCTGGTGTTGCTTGTGTTTGCAGCTTACTTGCTTGCTGCTGGTGTTGCTTGTGTTTACAGCTTGCTTGCTGCTGGTGTTGCTTGTGTTTGCAGCTTGCTTGCTGCTGGTGTTGCTTGTGTTTGCAGCTTGCTTGCTGCTGGTGTTGCTTGTGTTTGCAGCTTGCTTGCTGCTGGTGTTGCTTGTGTTTGCTGCTTGCTTGCTGCTGGTGTTGCTTGTGTTTGCTCTCTGCTGGTGTTGCTTGTGTTTGCTGCTTGCTTGCTGCCGGTGTTGCTTGTGTTTGCTGCTTGCTTGCTGCTGGTGTTGCTGCCTGCTTGCTGGCTGGCTGCTGGTGTTGTTTGCTGCTTGTTGCCTGCTGGTTTTGCTGCCTGCTGGTGTGGAACACATGCGCCAACATTGCAAGAGGTCAGTGACCTGTAGCCCGCACTACCACCCACACAATGGCCGCATCACAACATACCGGAGGACACAGTGTGCCGGTGAAGGCTCAAAGTCTGGCCCGGGCCCCAAGAGCCACAAAGACTCTCGCCTTCAGTCAAGTATCATACGATGTTACGGAA